GAGAGAGAGAGAGAGAGAGATGAGCGATCCAAGATTGGTTGTCACTTACCTGTGAGCCGAGCGGTGGAGTCCGGTGGAGGAGGAAGACGGCGGCCATAGCCGCGGAGCATTGACATAGAGTGCCGGAGGAGAGAGAAAGGGAGGACAGAGGAGGGACTAAGGAGAGAGAAGAAGAAGTGTGGGGGGAGGAGGTTGGAGAAGAAGGCAGGCATAGCCGGGGGCGAGCACAAAAAAATAAAATAAAATAAATAAATAAATAATACAGCGGAAGTGAAGGGAAAGAAAGTGAAGGAAGGGGAAGTAGACGGCAAGGGTGACGAAGGTGAAGGTGCCGGCAACCATAGCCGAGGTGAAGGGTTGACCGGGCGTTGACCAGGGCGTTGACCAGAGGGTTGACCAAGGGTTGACCAGAGGGCTGACCAAGCATTGACCGGGGCTTGTCTGCGTTGACTCGGCGTTTTCCAAGGCGTTGACCGGAGCTGCTGACCAAGATTGTGACCAAGCTGGAGTTGGTGATATCTCGCTGAACCCTCAGCCTATCCCCTTACCCTGTGGATGTGCACTTACCCCACGGTACTTGCTGAGTCTGTCTGTCTACTCTTTCTGCATTCAGTCTCTTCTGTCCTAGGTGCTAGGAATCTGTGGATGAAGGATAGCGCCTTGCTGCCAAACCTGCACGGGCTTAGTAGGACCAAAGCTCTACTCTGGCACTTGGAGACCTGGGCATGAGCGGTGAGCGCTCGTTAAACAACTCGTCTAGCCCAATGACCGGTACTGTCCGGCAGGTCTACTGAGTTCAGTGTGGAGGATCTGAACTCCGAGTTGTAGGCTGAAACGAAGGCCGTCTTTTAGTGTTGAGGCCTGGTTGAGCCACTCCCCTACCGGACCCAGAAGGCTGATGATCCGTGTCTGACGACTCGACTGTCCCGAGGGATACGAACCCCTCCAAGGACCGGTACTGACCGGCGGGCTGCTCGGTGTGGCACAGGAGGCTGGACGGGCTGAGTTGTGGGCTGAAATCGCCAGAGGAACCAAGCTGATCGCGTCGTCCTGTCTGCGACGTTAAAGAATTCTTGCGAAGTTTGGGGGATCTCCTTAAATGCCTCCTGATCAGCTCTTGGTTCTGTAGTGACAGCCTTAGAGTAGTCTTGGGTTAGTAGTGGCCATAGTTGACAGGGTCTTATCCTGTGGTCCTTAGGAAGTCAGTCAGTAGGTTAGTGTGTCCGGGTAGGGCTACGTGGTGAGGAGTGGGACCCTTGTCTTGCACCAACACCACGATGGACGACTACCCGATGTATGGGTTGCTGGTTGGGTTCTCCCTCTTGGAGACCCTCTGGCGTCTCCTCTTTCCTCTGGGATTTTGACATACCTTTGCGCGTAGAGTAGGGCCCACTCGAGGTGGTGCTGCCACCCAACCATACACGAAGGAGGAGGAGGAGAAGATGGCCGCCATCCTGCAGGAGAGGAAGGAGAAGAAGGAGGCCAAGAAGAAGGCCTTGAAAGAGGAACAGGCGGCCAAACTAAAGAAGATGGAAGAAGAGATGTCCAGGCAGAAAGAGAGGTTAAAAAAGGAAGAAGAGAAGCTGAAGGAGGTGGATGAAGAAGAGGAAGGACCGCCACTGCAAAAGAGTGGGCAGCACATCGGCAGCAGCAGTGATGAGATGGAGAAGAAGATTTTGGAGTGGGTCGCCAACTTATCCCTGGGTGAGGAGGAAGAGGTTGCTATGTACATCCCCAAGGATGAGCAAGAAGCCGCCATGAAGAAATAGGAAGCAGAAGAAGATGTTCTGACGCGGCGGGCGATGGAGGATGAACAGAGGATGGCGTGGAAGCTCGCAGTGATGAGGGAGAAGAAGAGAAGAGTGGAGGCGGCGAATGCAGCAATGCAAGAACTAGCGGAGGTGAGGACTGCCTTAACAACACAATTGACTCCGCAAGTAGATCTCCAACGCAAAATGGAGATCATCGCCCAGAGCGTTGACCGGTTAGCTAAAGTGCAAGAAAAGCACTATGAGTTTGGTCGCAGCCAGGAGATATCCGTGCGTTCGATGCGAACAGGCTTACATGATTTTGCTCGCGAACTAGTAGGCGCTGTGGGATCCGGGGTGAGTCATCGCCTCGAGAAGACAACGCGTTTTTGTGTCGGCGCCATCGAAGGCGTCAAGGTGGCCGCTCCCAAGGAGGAGGAGGCCCGTCCTCGCAGGGAGCCAGTCAAAGTCAAATTCCCTGATTCCTACAGTGGGAAAAACGAAGAGAACTTTGACAATTGGGAGGCCAATGTTAAGACCTATGTGCATTTGCAATAGGTCTCCCCGGATCAACAGATCTTATTTGCGATCCATGCACTTAGAGACGAGGCCGCCAGTTTCGTAAGATCCCTTGTTCGTGTTGCCAACTATAGTGACGATCTAGTTGCGTACTCGTCGTTTACGTCCCTCATTGAATTCTTGAAGCTGCTGCGCGAGCGATTCACTGATGTTGCCCGTAGTGTCAAAGCCTCAGAAAGGCTTCAGACAATACACTCGCGCCAATGGAAGAGTGCAAGGGCACTCAAGGGCACAATGGATGAGTTGGTGGCTATTCCTGACCACTAGGTCACGGAAACCCAGTTGGTCAACCTTTTCTACCGGGCTATGCCCGAAACTCTGCGTGGTCACTTCTTTGACAAGAGTCAGGACCCTGCTATGACTTATGATATACTTAGCAGGGAAGTGATCGCATTCGAGGCGAAGTCTGCGTCGATTTTCACCTTCTGGCACAAAGATTTATACAAGGGCTAAAAGTGGAAGGGCCGCACTATCTCAGGGCAAATCAAGACCAAGGATAGCCTTGTGCTCACTTTAGATGAGAAGAGTGTGGACGAGATCCCCTACGACCAGATTGAGTGGGGGTTCGAGGAGGAGGACAGTAGTGTAGGCCAGGGGAGGACTTACGCTGCTGTCGCGGCTGGAGGGAGGCCGCAAGGAGGACGAGGCCAAGGCTAAGGGGGCCGGGCCTCAGGGAGCCGATTCCAGGGCGATCAGGGGGTTTGTGGCAGAGGAGGGAACTGCCAAGCAGGAGGTACGGGTCAAGGTCCCCCGCAAAACTGTCCTAGGAACAGGTCTCCCTATAGAGTAGGAGGATGGCACCCAGGGCTACCTCAGGGTAGGCCGTGGGAATCTTTGGGTCTGGACCAGGCTTTATGGCAACAACGATTGAACCAGGGCCAGTGCATTTTCTGCGGTGACCCGGGGCATATCATCAAATATTGTCCTAAGTATCGAGAGACCCGAACGGCTGCTCAAGAGCCAAAAGGCAGTCGCCAGTAGGGGTAGCAACTGCCCCTACCACTAGGCCATGTGGGGAAAATAGCGCTAGCCGGCAGGAGACTCCCACACCACATGTGCCTACGGCAGAGGTTGCAGGCCGGTGTCTAGACAGCTGTCCCGAGACTGCTTGTGTTAGAGTTTCGCTAGACACCTCCCACACAGGCGTAGCGGAAGAGTTGAAGGAGAGAAGGCCCGCCTGGGCCAAGATAAAGAAGGAGAATAAAGGGCAGCTGATTTTATTAGATGCAGAGATTTTTAGAAGTAGAGTAGGGGCCCTAATAGACTCAGGGGTCACCCGTAGCTATATTAGTAAGCAAGCGTTGCAGAAGTTGAGGCTGGGACTTAAGGTCCAGAAACTGACAGACCCCATTGATAGTATCCTCGTGGACAATCGTACCATGGTTGTAGAAGATTACGTAGAGGGAGTTCAGGCGTATTTTCGCCTAGGGAAAGATGGGAAGGTGGAGAAGGTCCTCCACTCCCTGACTCTCCTCGTAGATGACAGCCTCCCGTTTGATATAGTACTGGGAATGGATTGGGGAGAGGCAGCCGGGGCAACGCTCCATCTGAAGGAGCATGAGTGTAGACTCCCTAGTTCTGCAGGCGAGGCTAAGACTGCCCGCCTGTTTCATGTGTCAGGAGTAGAGAATTTGTTGGCACATTGCTGCCTTAGTGCCCCTGCGTTCGCCAGATTGGTGAAGAAGGAGAAATTAGAGGAACAGGTCTTTGTTGCCTACGTTAGCCCGTCACGGAGCCTACGGAAGAGAAGCCGATGAACCCTGCGATTGCCAAGCTGCTGGAGGAGTTTAAGGATTTGACTGAGCCGCCGACAGGCAAGGTGCCACGGCCCATCCAGCACCGCATCGAGATAGAGCCTGGCAGTAGAACTCCTAAGGGTGTTGTGTATAGGATGTCCCCGCGGGAGTTAGAGGAGCTTCGCAAGCAATTAGACGAGCTCCTCGAGAAGGGTTGGATAAGGCCCAGTTCGTCTCCTTTCGGAGTGTCTGTTCTCTTTGTTCCTAAGAAAGAGGGAGAGCTGAGAATGTGCATAGACTATAGGGGTTTGAATGCTATTACAGTAAAGAATGCTGAGCCACTGCCTAGGATCGACAATCTCTTAGATCGAGTGCAGGGGGCTAAGTATTTCTCTAAGATAGACTTAGAGTTCGGATATCATCAGATAGAGGTACACCCTGATGATCAGTATAAGACAGCCTTCCGGACAAGGTACGGGCATTATGAGTTTATAGTGATGCCCTTTGGACTAACCAATGCGCCAGCAACTTTTCAGCGGTATATGAATGATTTGTTTAGGCCGTGGTAAGACAAATTCGTTGTAGTTTATCTAGATGACATCCTAGTGTTTAGCCGGACCCTCGAAGAGCATCGGGGTCATCTCAGGCAAGTCTTGGAGAAGCTGAGAGAAGCTAACTTCAAGATCAATGCAAAGAAGTGCGATTGGGCAACGACCCAAGTTTTGTATCTAAGCCACGTCTTAGACGGAGACGGCGTTAAGCCAGAAGATAGCAAGATCGCAGCGATTAGAGATTGGCCCACGCCACGTACGCTRACAGAGTTGCGCTCGTTCCTGGGCTTAGCGAATTACTACAGGAAGTTCGTAAGGAACTTCTCCACTATCACTGCGCCCCTTCGCAGATTGCTGAGAAAAGAGACAATCTGGAGATGGGACAAGGACTGCACGTCCGCCATGAAGAAGCTAAAGCAGGCGTTGATACAGTATCCGGTCCTTAAGGTCACCGATCCGTCCTTGCCTTTTGTCGTTACTACGGATGCTAGCCAGTACGGCATAGGCGCAGTGTTATAGCAAGACGATGTCAATGGCTATAGACCCGTAGAGTTCATGTCCGCTAGGATGCCTTCAGAGAAGCTTGCGACATCTACCTATGAGAGGGAACTCTACGCTCTCAGGCAAGCATTAGACCATTGGAAGCACTACTTGCTTGGGAGGCACTTCAAAGTCTATTCGGACCATGAAACGTTACGGTGGTTAAAGACCCAGGCCAAGATGACACCTAAGCTTACAAGGTGGACCGCAGAGATAGATACGAGCTCAAGCCTGTCAAAGGGAAGTACAACGTAGTCGCGGATGCTCTGAGTAGGAGAGCAGATTACTTTGGGGCAATAGTACATTACCTCGATATAGGAAAGGATCTGCAACTGAAGGTTAGAGAAGCCTACGCGCAGGACCCTATCTATAGTGAGCTCCTCACGCGAGTCAAGGAGGCCCCAAAGACCGAGCCGAACTACCGCACTACTGGAGGGTTACTCTTCGAGAAGACTAATGTCTTTGACCGGTTGTGCATCCCCAATAGCGAAGAGATCAGTAGTCTGATTATGGGAGAATGTCACGACATAGAGGGTCATTTCGGTTGGCAAAAGACYTTGGCCAATCTGATGCGCGCGTATACCTGGCCAGGGATGAAGAATGACTGCGTAGAGTATGTTCGCAGTTGCAAAGTCTCCCAGCGTAATAAGAGTTCTACGCGCGCCCCGCTAGGTCTTCTCAGACCCTTGCCCATTCCGGATCAGCCGGGAGACTCAGTCTCAATAGATTTCATGGACACTCAAGTCAAGAGCAGGCATGGCAAGAGCCAAGTCATTGTCATAGTTGACCGCTTTAGCAAGTACGCAATTTTTGTTCCTTTGCCTTCTGAGGCGCGTACTGATTTGGTCATACAGAGGTTCTTTGACTGTTGGGTTAGTGAGAACGGAATCCCGCTGTCTATAGTTAGCGGTAGAGATAGTCGCTTTGCTAGCCAGAACTGGCAAGAACTCATGGGAGTATAGGGATCTAAATTGTTGATGTCGTCCGGCCGCCAYCCAGAGACTAACGGTCAGACAGAGCAAATGAACAAGATCCTACAGGAAGTTTTGCGCATGTATATTAGGCCAGATCAGATTAACTGGGATGAGATGTTGCCTAAAGTAGCTAGTGCGTACAATAACAGCATGCATCTAGCCACCTGCCGCACTCCCAACGAAGTGCACAAGTCCTTTAGACCGCGCAGACCGTTTGAGGGACTCAACCGGGATCAGATTCAGAGATTGTCGCCCGGGACCCGGGAGTTCGCTGTACAGCACGAGAAAGAACTAGCTATTGTTGTAGAAAACCTCAGGAAAGCCCAACATAGGATTATAGAACAAGCAAACAAACATCGTCGCCATTCACAGTTTCAAGTAGGCGACTTAGTCTGGGTTAGTTCGAAAAAGTTTGCACCTGAGGAGAAGTTACTGCCCACATATAGAGGACCGTGGCCTGTTCTTAAGGTCAAGGGCGGTGAAGATGGACTGTCCTATACAATAGAACTACTAGCACACCTCCACACGTATCCTGTTTTCCACGCATTGAAGTTGCTACCTTGTCAAACAAGTGATCAGTTTCCATCCCGTAGATCAATGATCCCACCTGATATGGATGGCAGGTATGACATAGACGGTATAGTGGTTGAGGATGTCTTCAGAACCGAAGGTAAGGGTCGTCCGCAAAAACAGTACAAGGTTCATTTTAGTTATCAAGAACCGGAAGACGACCGCTGGTTTACAAGATCAGAACTTCTAGAGACAGCTCCCGATATAGTCTGGGCCTATGAAAGACAGCAGAAGGGTAAAGGTCCTGCCTTGGACTGAAATTTTCTCGGAGGACCTCGAATTTAGGCCGGCGGGAGTGAAAAGGTATTCACCAGTTCGCAGTAGCAAATGCAGATCCCAGGGCTCGATCCCTAGTTCCCCATCCTACCTCTGTACAGTATTGATGACAACCCGTAGACTTGAACCTGCGACCTGTCGAAACGCCAGTGGTAGGTAGATTGTCGTAGGTCACAACTTAGAAGGGAATCGATATGTAGACCTGTAGGGTAGGAGTCTGGACAGTTCCGAAGTCATAGCTGTAGGATGTCTGAAGGGTCAAGCTCATAGTTGCTACTTACCTGAAAGGGCGAAGTCGTAGCTGCTACAGTACCGAAAGGCCAAAGTAGAAGTTTCTAGAACTGGCCTTTCGGAGTCAGCCCCTGTTTAGGTCGAGGCAAGTGGACAAGTGGTGTAGGTCCACTACGTAGAGTCAGCAGTCCCAGGTAGCCCAGTCCGGTCCAGTCAAGCAAGTACCATCTGGGACTTTGCACATCGTGGGCCAAGGGATACAGGGCAGACCAACGCCGCACAAAAGTATAAATCAAGAGGCTGCGTCCAGCCATTCATTCATTCCTGCGGATGCCATGCGGAAGCGCTGCCTCAGCAGCTTGTGCGAGGAGGTCTGCAGTGCGCCCGAAGACGAAGAGGGCAGTCGAGTGTAGTGTAGCGATAGGATAGTGGCAGCCATAGCTGCCATAGCTATAGTAGCGTGTGTGTGTGTGTGTGTTGCATGTAGAGTGTTGCATGTGGGACATCCAGGGTGATCCAGAGTGCGAACAGTGAGTTGTGTGGGCGCTCAGTCGCCATAGCCAGTTTGAAGGGAACTCCTACCTGGTTACGATATCTTTGAGTACTGTGTAGGCGCATGTCGCCACTTTGCTGTTTTGCTGTTTGCATGCATGACAAGTGTGAAGAAGTCGAGTCTGATTGCATTGGTATTTATTTAATAGGAAAAATATATATTACAAATCGGGACCGCGGCCCCCCGCCCGCAGTTGACCTCGGCGGTCGGTATCCAGACCGAGGGCCAAGATTGACCCCGCGGTCATGACGTCGGGAGATTGATAGTGCGTGTGTGTGTATGTGTGTGTGTATGTGTGTGCACGTGTGCGCTCGTATGTGTGTGTGTGTGTTTGTGTAATATTTGTTACTAAACCCCCACATCATTCGACGTGGCGGATTGCAAGGCTAGGCTTAGAGAACTACTTCCAAGAGGCAACAACGTACTTCTAGGAAATTCAAGCAAGCTTTTACGGGCGAAAACTTCACTTCGACCTTTTTTAAGAAATTTTGCTTCCCAGCTCCGAATGCCCAGCGATACATAGTTGTCGCATAGTGACCCAAACCACCTCACCAAATCCGGTATCCATAGAAACCATACAGAGGGGCTCCAAGGCCAGGATTTCGATGGCGAAGGAAGAGGAAAAGAGAGAGAGAGAGAGAGAGAGAGAGAGAGAGAGAGAGAGAGAGAGAGAGAGAGAGAGAGAGAGAG